GTGGAGGATGGGGAAGACCTGCATTTTGATAGTGTCAGCGTCAACATCCTGGTCCTGATATCGTGCTATATAATAGTTTTTACAAGGCATCACTATTGGGGGAAACTGGGTAAAAGGTACAGGGATCTCTCTATAATTTATGACAACTGCATAATCTACAATTGCCTCTAAATCAAATGAATTTTATTTTATTTTATTTATTTATTTATTTTTATTCATGAGAGTCAGAGAGAGAGAGAGAAAGAGAGAGGCAGAGGCAGAGGCAGAGGCAGAGGAAGAAGCAGGCTCCCTGCCTAGCAGGGAGCCCGATGCGGGACTCGATCCCAGGACCCCGGGATCATGACCTGAGCCGAAGGCAGACGCTTAACCATCTGAGCCATCCAGGCGCCCTAAATCAAATGAATTTTAAAAAACCACTTACGGCATTCCCAGCAGAAGCAGAAAGAGTAGATTGGGTTGCCCACTGATGGGCGAAATATGGCAAGCCTCTTCTAGAAGGGCTTTATTTTTTAGGAAGGAAGTTTGTTGATTGTACTTAACATTTTTGTTTCCATTAGTACTTAATCCTTGGGATATATTAATAGCAGTGTTTAGTCATGCTAAGCGACATTATTGTCTAATACCATCAGGAGTCACATGGTTGGTGTTTTTTTTGTTGTTGTTGTTATTGTTTTATTTGACAGAGAGACCCAGCGAGAGAGGGAACACAAGTAGGCGGAGTGGGAGAGGGAGAAGCAGGCTTCCCGCCGAGCAGGGAGCCCGATGTGGGGCTCGATCCCAGGACCCTGGGACCATGACCTGAGCCGAAGGCAGACTCTTAACGACTGAGCCACCCAGGTGCCCCGGATTCACACAGTTTTTTTAAAACTGGCAGGAGTCATTGAGAGATCATCTTTTCCAATTCTCTCATTTCACAGATTCAGAAACTCCGAAGTGGCCCAAAGTTACACAGCTAACTAGCAGTATTAACCAGGACTAGAACCCAGTCATCCCAGGATCCAATCCTGTGCTTCCAACTGCTCTGTATTTTTATTTTATAAATGCAGCACAATTAGTGGATCTGGATCAATATCCTGAGTTACCCCGGTGTCCATGCTTAGCACCTGAGAGGACTCATTGCCCTCCAGCAGGGGTGCCCCTGCCCAGTTATGGGGTGGCTGCTGCTGGTGGGGACAGCAACTTACTCTGAGACCAAACCAGGCTGGTGGACCCCTCACCCTCCAAGCACATAATAGGACCAGAGTGGGAGAGGACGGAATAACACTTGGAGGACTGGCTAGAAAGCAAACAGAGAAAGAGGCAGCTGGAAGCAGAGCCAGGATGAGAACCAGCTCTCCACGCCCAGATCAGGGCTTCTCTGATGGGGCACCCCAGAAATGGCCACCCCAGTGTGTGCTTTTCATCACTGTGTGGCCAGTGGCCTTTATCTAAGTCATCATGGAGCGGGGAAGCCAAGCTAGGGACAGAGAAATGGAAACCTAAGTTTCCAGAACACCAATTACCACCCGGGACCCTGGGCATGATCCCTCCTTCCTGCCATCTTGACTCAGTTTACCCATTCATACAAGGGGGTTTGGATTAGCCAGAAGAGTGGCTCTAGCTTTTGTTCTGAGCTTCCTGTGCAGACCAAACACGCAAACAACTAAAAATCAGGCTTGCAAAATAAACTCGTACAGATGGCTAGCCAACGGCAAATGTGTAACAGACCTGAATCATTTCCCCAGGCTTATTAAATCAGCCCCTGCTTCCCCATGGGTGGTGGTAGAGATGCTGGCTGCAGGGAAGGGACTTGGGGAAGGAGCAGTCAAAATTTCACTTTTTGGGAGACATTTTGTACGTTGCACAAACAGCCCCCACTGCCAAATGAGTCAGAATTTCCGAATGGCATAATTTTAGGGCCTCCTTGTGGTTCCCTCTCTGGGCCACTTCTGAAAGGGAGGCCTCAGGGCGGGGTTTCCTGTGCTCAATTCCAGAGATGCTGGAGGGGCTCTCTCCGCCTCCCCCATCCTTTGCCAGAATTTTCTTTCCTAGGCAGTTTTCGTTTCCACTCCTTTCTGTAGCCGTGGGTAATGCTGAAGACTGAAGACGGAGGTGAAGGCTTACAGCCTTCCTAGTGGCAAACTGCCCCTCTCTCCCGCATTGATTACTCAACATGTTCGCCTTCAGCGTGGTCTACTTCGGAGTGGCAGAAAACTGGCACAGAATTAACAAAAAAATCACACCCTGTGCTTACATCATGCTTGAGAAGAGCAACGGGAGAGTATCATCACAAATCACCAAGCCCTGTAAAGATGAAGATAATATTAATGATGACAATAAATCTACTAATATCGGCATGTAAAATATTTTTTATCACATATATTTTCCCCTATGGAATATTCTTTTTTTTTTTTAAGATTTTATTTATTTACTTGAGAGAGAGAGAGAGAGAATGAGAGACAGAGAGCACGAGAGGGAAGAGGGTCAGAGGGAGAAGCAGACTCCCTGCTGAGCAGGGAGCCCGATGTGGGACTCGATCCTGGGACTCCAGGATCATGACCTGAGCCGAAGGCAGTTGCTCAACCAACTGAGCCACCCAGGCGCCCTCCCCTATGGAATATTCTTGCTATGCCCGCTTAAGAGATGAGAAAACCCAGGTTCTAAGAGGTCACATGGCTTGCTAGGGTTCACTCAGTGAAGGAGCAGAGCTGGGTCTGGAGTGTGGGTCTCGCAGCTTTGAGGTGGTGCTCTGTGCTGTGTGAGCTGGGAGTTGGGGGGGCTTGGGGGGGTTGGGGGGGAGGTCGGGGCATCTCTATGCACACCACCGCCCCGTTCAGGAGACAGCCCCCTGGACACAGAATCATTGCACTGTGACCTCGACCTCTGGTAGTAGTCCTCTGTTTCTCACTCTCCATATCCCCAGGGACTCACACGTAGTAGGTGCTCAGGAAATATCTGATGAAGGACTGAATAGGTGCGTACTAGAACCTGTTGGGATCATGCTCTACCCAGAACAGCTCACATGAGCGGGGTGCTCACACCACTAGGTGCAAAATCATTGAAGATGGATTCTTATTATTGAGCACATGTAACTGAAGAGGAAGCCAAAGATGAGTAATGAACAGAAAGTTGCCAACTTGCAGTTTGGCGCTGGAGCTTGAGCTCTTTGCCCCACCTGTGCGAAACCATCTCTCACTGCAGGAAACTGACTTCTGATGGCCCGCTGCTTCACCTTACCAGCAGTGCTGGTGGGACCATCTTCCTCCTTGCGCAAAGCACCTGACCTCCGTGTGCCTCCGTTTCCATCCTAAGACAAATGGAACTTTTCCTAACCCCCTGGAAGACCTTGGCAGAGATGTAATGAGGAGATACACGTGAAAGCATTTGGAAGAATAAAGAGCGTTATCCAAGTGACAAGTATCATAATAATTGGTCATTGCTGTCTGCACCTTCAACTTGGCTGTTGTAACCCCAAGGCTTGTGACAGCACCTCAGATGGAGGCGGGAGGATAATGAGAAACATAATAGGACACCTAGAACCGGTCAAGGGGAAGCGTGGGAGAGGTCCTTTGTGGGCATCTCCTATGACCCTGTGGATAATTATGGCTTGATGAACAGTTCTGAGTTAGGAGGTGTGGCTGACACTGGCATTCTAACTCCTGCTAGGTCTACTCCAGTGTTACTTCTGGGCTGTGGCATTCTTCTGCTTTGCCCTCAGTTTGGAAAAGACAAACACACACACACGCATGCACAGCGCGCGCGCGCGCACACACACGCACACACACACACACAATTACTATCTGGTCCTGTTTTACAATTTAATCTTTGTCTTAGGACACTGATCTGTTCAACAAATATGGATAGAGGACCAGACAAGCTCTCACTAAGAAACAAAAGAGGAAAACACCCTCTGGGAAGCAGTAGATCTGGGCCAGCTCCCTAACTCCTCAAGCTTAGCCTCCATGGTCTCATCTGCAAAATGGGCGTCACTGACACCTAAATTGTGAAGACTGGAGTCCCCATGGTACATAGTTCCACAAGTTGTGTCGTTAGTGGCTCTCATTCCCATCCAGAGGAGACAGAACCAATCAGGCAAACATGTTGTAATTACTCGGACAAAGATCAAGGCTCGGGTGGAGAGACAGTTCAAAGGGCCCTAGGTGTGCCGGGAGCCAAAGGCAAGGAGGCAGATAAGATTCAGACATTCTGCCGCAAGGTTTAAGAGTTGGTGGAGTCGCTGATCAAGGTGAGAGGATGTCTTTTGGGTGGGAGTGCGGCGCTGGGAGAAAAGGGAGACAGTTTCCGGGGGCCTTGCGTGGGTGGGAGGTCCAGATTATGTTTAGAATTCACATTCCTTGCAGCTCACGCACCGTCGCCCCCTCTCGGCGTCCTGGGGGACTCCCTTCTGAGCCTGTGGCCCAGAGATCGCGCGCGCCTTGGCTCCAGGCACTGTGGGGTGGGAGGGGCCGGATGGGGTGCCCCCACTGTCAGGCCAGCTGATAGGTGTCACTTCCTCCTGCATTTCGCGCCTCAGGGGAGTGCCCTGGCGTTGGGCCCCGCCTCGGCTCTTGCCGGGGGGCAAGACCTGCGAGCCCCCTAGCCTTCTCCCCAAATCTGGACACCCGAGGAACTCCCTCCCCGATCTAACTTTCCCCGGGGGAGAGGCAGCTCCGTGTCATCCCCAAGGATGAGACCCCAGCGGAGGCAGGCAGGGGTCCGGGGATCCCGGCGGCTCCCGGGCGGGAGTGTGCAGCCCTGGGCGCGGGGCCGGGGGTGAGGATGGGGAGACCCCACGGCAGCGCTCCCTCCCTCGGAGGGGTCTGCGATTGGGCGCCGGGGGCTTGAGGCGGTGCACCGGGGGCCTCCGCGGAGCGCGCGGAGCCGGGCGCGTCCTTGTCCAGCCCTGCCCGGTGGCAGGGCCCGGGCGGCGGCTCCCGCGGCAGGTCCCCGAGGGGACTGGGCGGGGCTGGGGGGGGCGAGTGTCCGGCCCCGCCCCGGCCCCGCCCCCCTCCGTAGCCGCCCGGGACGCAGGGAGGAGGGCGGCTGGGCCGGAGCAGCCCGCGGCGCCGCGCTCCTGCAAGCTCGGGGCCGGGTAAGTGGCGCGGGACCGGGAGGCCGAGCTGGGGCCGTGAGGGTCGGGGCTGCAGCCCCCCGCTCAGCCCCGACGCGTCCCCCAGGGGTATGGGTCGCCGAAAGTCGAGGGGACCCGGGGAGGCGCGCCTGGCGCGGGGGCGGGGGCCCTGGCGTGACAGCTGCGGGCGGGCGGGTATTTTTAGTTTAAACCCAACCGTTCCCTGCCGCCTGCGAAGTCCCGGAGCCTTTCTGCTCCCCAAGCTTGGAGGCGCGGCCCCCAAGAAAAAGCCCCTAAGCCCTGGGCAGCGCGTCCCCGGCTGGCCGGGCGCCGCCTCCAATCTTTGCTCAGCCTCCGCTTGGGGCCAGAGGACCTGTCACCGCGGGCCCGCGCCGCCGAGTGTCCCGGGCCTGGGCAGTAAACGCGGGCGGGAATACCCCGTCCTGGCGACCACGCGCTCGCCTCGGAGTTCCCGCGACAGCCCAGAGCCCGCGAGCTAGGAGGCGGGGGGGGGGGGGGGGGGGGGAGGTCGTTCCGGGCGGCCTCGGTTTCGTTCAGACGCCTCCTGGCTGTGCAGCTCTGGGCAAGTCCCTCAGCCTCTCTGAGCCTCATTCCGCAACTCTCAAGGAGGGCGTAGCGAGGCCAAAGATCTCTTGCAGGGTCTGAGCCAGCCCCAGATGGATGCTGACTCCCCTTAGGGTCTTGAGATCTTGACTCTAGACAGAGGACCTGGTGGAGGTAACCCAATGGTCAACCTAGGAGCCCGTGAGTGCCCCACCCTGCGCAGCGACCTCTGCTTCAAAACTATACCGCTGCAGTGGGGGTGATAATCAATGTTATTTTTTCACTTTGGCCCAAGAGCTCTGGCCCAGGGCTGCCCTGGGACCCTGTCCCAGGTTCCTGGTCTCTTTCACTTCTGAAGGGTTAACTTCCTCCTGGCACCAGTGGAGGAGCCTGACATGCCCAGGAAGCATGCCCCATCCCAGGTGAGAGAGCGCAGGAGGAGTCAGTGGGGAAAAGAGACGGTCCCCCCAGAAAGGGGAGCATGTCACAAAATCACTGCCCTTCTGAGCTTGGCGGGACAGCCTCCTTCATCCACCAAGAAGAGAGAAAGCAGGCCCCGAGATGGGAAGTGATTTGCCCAGAGCTGCGCAACCAAGAACAGAAGCTGGCTCTCTCAAAGGGTCAGGCCCTGCCTCCTGCACAGCCAACAGCCCCCAGGGGTCAGGAGCTGGGAGGCGGGAGGGACAAGCCTGTGCCAATGGGTTGTTTTGCTCTGTTTCCTGTAACCGTGCCCCAGCGAGGCTCTCTGACACGTGTGGGTCTGCACATTCCTCAAGCAGGACCGCACTGGGCTGCCGACAGTCACAGCTGTGCCAAGCCTGCTGGCCCCGGGGCGGTTTTCAGCGAGGGAGGCCCCTCTGAGGGCAGCTGGAGTGGGGGAGTGGGCTGGGAAGGCTTTATTTCTGGAACTCCTGTCTTGCTGGGGGTCCTGAGGAGGCCTGAGGATTTGCTGGCGGCCCTGCGGGGAGGGTTGAGAATCCAGGCTTTGGTTTCTGCCTCAGGGTGCAGACTGGCCCCCTGCAGGCACCCCCCTTCAGGGTGAGTTTGAACTCCTTCGGTCTCCATGGGAACAACCAATCCTCTCTCCCAGCTGCTTTGCATGATCTGTAACCGCTGCAGACCTGTCCTTGCCTGGGGGTGGCCGCTGGGCCTCGTGATGCCAAAACCTGGGGCTGGGACAGTTGGGGGACCTTGGCTTGGCTGCAGGGTGACCTCCGCTCTGGGGAAGTAAGACTGGACAAGTCCAGCACAACCCCCCCTAAATATCCTGGAGCCCCTGAGAGCCAAGAGGGCGGTGGGGCCTCCCGTGTTGCCCAGCTGTTAAGAATGGGGGTGGCCACGTTAGACCACCTGGGTCCAGGCCAGCCTTGGCGGTGAAACAGTCACTTCAGCTTTCAGAGCTTGGATCTTCTTCCGCACGAGGGGGGGCGGGTAATCGTAGTGCCCCCATCTTGGGTGCTGTGAGCATTAAATGAGATGCTCCATGAAGAGTGATTTATACGGGACCAGACACAGCACATGCAAGCAGCTATCATAGTTTTTGGTGATGGGGCTCCGGAGGGGGGAGGTGCGGGACACCTGAGTGCCCCCTGCCCAGCGCAGCTCCGCCCTTTCCTCTCTGCCTTGAATGCCCGTGTCTGTCCAGTGGCGGGTGGCCCTGGAGCCTTTGCACCCCTGAAAGATGGTCTTCGACCCAGGCAGAGAGATTTGAGAGGGGTCTGCCAGGGGACCCCATGTGTCTGTGGGCCCTTAGGAAGCATTTCCTGTCTCTCCTACGGCCCTGACGGCAGCCAATGCTGCCACTGCCGGCCCATTTACAGATGAGGCGACGGATGCAGAGGCCAGGAGCCACAGAGTCAGGATTTGACCTCCGGGCTTTTGACTTGCTGCTCTTCATTATGCCCGGCTGCGTGTCTCAGAGGATAGAAGCACCATGTTATCCGCTGATCTTCAGGGGAACAGTATTGACGAGGCAGGATCCTGGTTATCTAAGACATTGGTATTTCCTGGAAAAGAATGAATTCTGGACTTCTTCTCCCGGTAACATCGAAACGTAGCTCAACAGGGCCAAGAGAGGAAACTGGGAGGAGGAGATGGGAGTTCCGGAATTGTCTGCTGACCCTCTCCACCCCCCTCAAGGGATGGATATTTGCCTCGGGATTTGGGAACGGGGCCTAGCAGCTAGGAAGTAGCGGGGAGACCGTCCCAGCAGCCAAAGCCTAAGTTTGGTCATCTCTAAAATAGAGATAAGAGGCCCCCACACCTCCCTGTGGGGTTGCTGTGGGGGATAAATGAGACAATGGGGGACAAGGCTCAGCAGAATGCCCTGCAGGCTGGGGACACATCATAGGAGGAGTTACGATGGTTTTATTATTACTAATCCTCCTAATGTAACTGTAACAATGTGCTGCGGCGTGCTCCTCTTGCCTGGATTTCTAGGCTGCAGACTTTGGGCAGGGAATCCCAGCATCTCCGAAATGGCTTTGAAAGGCTGGGCAGAGAGCTGCTAATTATGAAGCTCAAAACGCAAACACTAACCAGGAGTTGTTAAGCGTTGCATACACGGGAAGTAAAAAGCAATGGCAAAATGGGAGAAGTGAGCACCTTTAATGAGTCAGAGATGACCACTGGGGGGGTGCATGGGGGGTAAGAGGGGATTGGGAGGGTCACAGGGTCTGCGACAAAGGAATTCACCCTGTAATATTTGTAAGGATATGTATGTCTCCTGTGCGCCTCTCTACGTAGCTCCTGTTCCATAGATTTAAGCAGGTTTTATAAAAGGCAAGGGAATGGTAACCCCAAATCGGGGTGGTTATCTTCGGTGGGGAAGAGGGTACAGGGTCAGGGAGGAGCCACCTCCACCTCCGGTGGCATCCATTATGTTCTGTTTCTTCTAGCTCATGGGTGCTATTTTAAAATATTTTTATGCTTCATCATTTACAAACCTGTATCTGTTTCCATACACACACACACGCATATATTCCATTGAACATACCAAATCTTACATGCAAATAAAAAGGTAGTATGAAATGTGAAACATTTCACAAAGCCCTCTTAGGAAATCAGACTCTTCCCCATGGATTCAGATGTTAATTTGGCTGGATTGAAGAAATAAAACAAACACAAATCCTAGTGTGTGACAGACACATGGCTTCTCCTGGAGAAATCATCTCCCTCTTCTGAAGTCCCAACAACAAGAAGATGGTGTGAACACGGCGATCTCAGGTTATCAACGGGAGTTTTTAAAGTCTCGGGTAATGTTTTATGCTTTATGCTTTATGATTTATGCTCACGAATCAGAAAATCCTGAAATGTTTGAGCTGGGAGGAACCTCGGGTCACCTGGACCAACCTGCTGGTTTTATGGCTAATAGAAGTGCCCCAGCCAAGGTCAGCATTAGGCACATGGGCAGGGCAGACAGCTCACTCTGGGCTGCCACACCTGTGTGACTGTCACTGGGACACCACCTGCCACACCTCCATATTTGAGGCTAAACTAACGCGATCATTTTAATCTTTTTAAAAAGTCAGAAAAAAGCTACAATGTGCCATGAGCACACACTTCCAGAACTTACACGAACACAAACATCATCAAAGGCCATACATAAGCCGTGTCCACACTCCCCTTTGCTACAGAACCCTCCTGGGACAGCCCCTCATATTCCTCCCGGTCTTTGTGGGGCACACTTGATCTACTTATAAGTTATCAAAACAACTTACTGCTCTGGGTATGATTACCTCCATTTTTCAGTTGGGGAAACAGATTCAGGGAGGTTGAATGCCTTGCTCCAAATCCTGGGGCAGGTAAGTGCTAGAGCAGAAGTCCCAGCCCGAGGAAGAACTGAAAAGACAGGAAACTTTTTGTGTGTGCTGTGTTGTGAACGCATCCTTCCCTCCCCAGAAGCTGCAATCCCCAGTGGCCCAGCCCAGCTGGTGGGTCATGGGGACATGCCCTGATCAAGCATAGTTGGGTGGTGTCTGCCCACCTGTCAGATCGCAGAAGGTTCTGGAACCTGACGGCTCTCACTGCCACGTCTTCCTCCTTATGACCGAGCAGGGCAGCGGGGTGCTGAGATTTGGGGAATCCATCCCATTTTTGGCCCTGGTGCTCTGAACGCCCACTTCAGTTCTGGGCCACCTTCTTCTGCCCAAATCACAGGTGTTCTTCGGGCCTTCCCTCTGCAGAGGCCAGTGGGGCTCGAGGTGCCAGGGGATGTGTTCAGTGGTGGTTCTCCTGATGTGCGGAGGCAGCTGTTGTGCCCAGCCCATGCGCCCACCTGCGCAGTGGAGCCCGGGGCCCAGCCCCCCTGCCCTGGGTCCTGGGGTCAGTTGTGACACCGTGACCCCATTTGTCATGTGCCTGATGGGGCTGGTGGTGCCTCCCCCTGGGGCAGGGCTAATGCACAAGCCAGGCAGCTTTCAGAAACTGGGAAACAAGCCCTCCCTGTATGTGCCCGC